ACATCGTCGATGTCGCGACACCGTTCCGCGAAATTAGCTGAGATAATTGACGACAACGACGACTGAGTGTACATTACAATCAAATGAACCTGCAACCGAGCGCATTATACCCATGAAAAAAAAATCTCTCGATCGCGGCCCTGACTCTTTTCTTCGTCTCTTCTTCTTCTTCTCTGCATATACGTATATACAATGGGCCGTTCAATCGCCGTTCGAAGGACGAAACGCCAGAGAGTGAGAGACAACATTACCACTCCGCGTATAGGTTGTCCACCGACCGCGCCGGGAGACGTTTTTACCGAGACATCCCCTGTCATTTGCACATACGTCACGCTCCAATCGTTCACTTATACCCACGTATACGTACAATACTATTTTGTTTTCTCATACAACTGTCGGATGAAAAATAGGTAAAACTGTCTTGCCCCGCGATAACGAGCGTTTGGTCGGCGTTTACAGCACGCCAAGAATTATAACTCTCGACCGCTGGAACAATGGAATTACGAGGATATAATATGCTCTCGGCTACGCTAAAGGTGATGTCGACCTGCTTCACTTATCTCCTGGGAGTTTTGTCGGATGACACATCGTCATCTATCGCTGGCGCTTTTAGCTCACCTCCACGTTGGCCGATTTCTCGACATTTCAATACCTAAGTACATATATAATATTATGTACATGTCCAAGGGGATTGAAACACAATTACACCTGTACACGCATTGTACGTGACCCCTTATTGCACAATAATGTGCCCTGACAATTATGAGGTTTACAACCAAACAGCTGCTCGCTACCGAGAAACTATATACATATATAAATATGCGTGTCCTTGGGCGTGAGAGGGAAATTTTCTATTTCACCGGGGTCCGTGCACTTGCTTGTGGGCTCTCGAGTGTAATGCGACCCACAAGTGAGCAAATCTACGTGACCGGCGTGCCAAGGAAGGCCAAACAGGATGAGGTACTTTTCCATACAAAACAAAATAGAAAGACAAGGGCAAGGTGTCATCCGTTGGTGTGGTTTGCCGAGGTGTGTTGTAATGGAAAGAGAGTCTATGTATATAATCAACTGGATATCCTTAAAATCAAAGGTGCGATTTGTTTTTATATTAACATGTGCGTGGGGTACCGTTTCCGTTTTGTTTTATTGGAATTTTAGTGGGCGGTACAGTAAAATACATATAGGTGTAGGTGTAATCGCACACACGTCTTACCATGCACCGTCTGTTTCTACTTTTCGTCTCTCTCCCACGAGGACGAGTCGCGAAAATATATATACTCAACTGTAGAGAATTCAGACCACCGTGCAAATCAACGATAAACGATGCTACCCCCCCCCCCCTTTTCCCCAATCAATCGTCAATTGAGCCGTTAACCGATCGCTCTACTCAATAGAAATCCAACGGCGCTCGTTCACAGCCTCAAACATGAAATCGCGCGGAACAAATATAAAAAAACCCACAAACAAACAGACAAAAACCGGCTCAACCGTGAAAACACAGTCGTCCTTGTATACCATCCTTCCGAGCCCCTGATTTTTTTTAATACCCCTGCAAACGAAGAGAAATCCGAAAGAGCTGATCCGCACGGTGCATTGCAATGCATCGCGTCTAAAAAAAAAAAAAAAAGAAGAAGAAGAAGAAGAAAAGAAAAAGACCACCTGGCCGTGATAAATCGTTATAATAGTATACTGTAAGGAATATAAGGCGACGGGCGTCCGATGGCAGGTGAAAACACAACGAGTGTATATTTATATACCTACATAAATAGATGTACATGTATATGTATATGCACCTAGATCGGAGGATCGCGAAAACGAGCGAAAGAGAAAGGGAGGCCGATTTCCCCTCGTAAAAATCGATTATTCTCGCGATCACCGTGCAAGAGTTTTGCGGTTCGATTCGGAGGAGGCAGTGCTCGCCACCTTGTAAGATGCGCACACGAAGAAAAAAAAAAAAAAAAAAAAAAAAAAAAAAAACAAAAACAGGTGGCGCATAGGAAAGGATGTCTAGAGAGGTTCTACGATGCCGCGGACACCGTGTGGTGAAAGCGCGAGTCGCGGGCGGACTAACGGCCGAAAAAACGGGACGCGAGGGCAAAGTATACGTGTAAGGAACCGTGTGCCTCTTTGCCACAAATATTGTTTTTTTTTCTTTCTCTCCAACTCTAACGATGTATATCTATATTTTTGGATAATCCTCGGTGATTACATTTACCCCCACGTTGCGTCGATCAACACCATCACTATAACGTAAACGCTACTGAGGGGGAAAAAAAAAACTCTCGTATACCTCAGCAAAAAGTATATGTGCCGTGTACCGGTCATATACTCGTGCCCTCCTCTTATGCCTGCTGCCTCTCTGCTCTTTTTTTTTTTTTTTTTTCTTCATTTAAGGAGAGCAAAGCGACGACGACAGAACATAACGGTCTTTCTCTGTTTGCTCGCAATCGTTGAAACGTGGCCCAGTTCCTCGTATGGGCGCACGTGTACCCACACACACGTACACACGTACATATACATATATACCTTATATTCACGTTAGTTCTTACACTCTGGGTTTGTTGTACCATAAAAATGTATATATCGACGCTCCAGACTCGAGAAATATCATGTGCTCTGTCGTGTGTGATTGTATAAAAGTATTTTAATTGGATACTTTTTGTTTTTATCGATACGCCAATGGGAGATACCCATCCATTGAAACTCAACTGCATAGGAAAAAATTAAACCGATACACGAATCGATTGTATTGGATTATGATACGGTTAAACATTTAAAAGCTACATACCTGTATACTATACATAAAACATATGGGAAACGGTAAAATGCGCGTTGCATCAGAAGGTCGCTGCTCCCGCTTATTATACTTGGAGAAAAAAAAAAAATAAATCAAAAAAAAAAAAAAATAATAATCTCAAAGAGCACACATCAGGTCAGCGCGCCATTTACGTGCAGTATATACCTATGATGTTTAAGAGGCGATCGAGGAAGCTTCGTCCACCGATTGCCGCAAATATAGTTACAATTATTCTGCCCAATCATGTTATTTATAATAATACATATATTGTACACGTATTACGTTTACCCGTGCGTATACGTGACGCAAGGCTGTCTTTTTGAAAGCGCTCCTCGCGGGGAGAAAGCTCTCGTTTAATTGTCCGGCACATGTATATATCGTGTATATGTATGTGTAAGACGCGTAACAACGTCAAAATTACCTATACTTATACATGGAGTATCGTAAAAATGTAGTAATATACACACAACATATATATATATATATATATATATATATATATACGGTGCACGCCGAAAATTGCCTTTAGAGTATCACATACCAATGTGCTTTACAACCGCTGACGCAAATTTTGAGAGAGCTGCCCTGAAATATGTGCTCCGTTGCGCTGAATCGTGGTTTTTACACGCGTTTCTTTTGCAGTGTCGTATAACAAGTGATGCGTTCGAGTGGGCATATAACATTCGCGTTTCTTGAGAAGGAAAAAAATTTTAATATAAATATACCGACTAGCACAAATGAATCGATAAGTTTTCTTATCTTTTCTAACGGGAATACACCAAATTAGTTTTGACTCGAAGCTGCATTGTTGTGCCGTTACAACAAAGGCTTTTACTACTTTTTTTTGCGTTATCCATACACGTAAATCATCGGTAAGCTTACAAATGAGTCATAATTTTACAGATTTGCGTATATGGATATGACAAATATATGCAACGCGATTATTCCAAGTATAAAATAACCCATCTAAAGATCTAAATTTGCCATCGATCGATTACTATACTCCTGATGAGCATAAAGGATCGAGTCGATGATATTTTTTTGCACTCTCGTGATTACAAGGTATTATTTTCCTTTTCCTTATTACAATTTACAGCCGAGCCATACGTATTATTACGTACTCGTGGCTCAGGTCGGGGTGAAAGTGGCTTGAAATGTGGATGGAAATTATGAAAAGCGAGGATGACAGCTCCACTACACGTATATACATCGTAAGGTAAAGTTGTCCCCGATTTTTCCGCGATCGGTATCCCACCGATCGACGCCGATCGCACACCTATATAAATATCCTCGGGGCTATACGTATACAAGACAACATTCGTATAGTTTCGGAATACTTGACGTATTTATTTCATGTATACACTCTACGGTACACGAGGCGACCCAACAAATTTTCAAAGGATCATCGAACAAAGTTTTGTCAAAATCAACGCTTGCTGTTATACGTTATATGTTATCATAATTCGTTTTCTCTTTGCAAAACATCTACTTAAGATTCGTTCCAATGGCCGTTTGGAGTCTTTGCGACATGAACGTAATGGACGAGTAGCCGTTTAATTTGAATTACGAAATAATGTAATATGTACCTGTATTAAATAAAAATTAAGGCCATTTGTAATTCAATAAGGACCAAAAAAAAGCGAAAAATAAACCGAAGGGGAAAAGAAAAACAGGCTGCACTTTACAAGATAGTTTGTGCACAAACAAACAAACCGGTCGAGGATGATCAATAATTCAAGAGCCAGCGGCGGAGCAAAGGCCTTTTTTTTTCACCCGCCGGCGTTTTGTTGTTGCTCAATCATTGAATCTCGAGCTTTACTACATACACATTATACACACGTATAGGTATACCTACAGTGCAATTTCCTCGAGCGCGCAAATTGAAAATCTCATTTGGTGCAATGTATTGTGCCATGGTGATGACGATTTAAATTTAACGACCAGTACCACACGCGCTTTTGTGTATTTATGCAAGTGACGATGGTAAGGGGGGGGGGAGAAAACTCCGTACATTTATTGTTACTCGAAGAGCCAATGGACTGATGTTTTCTTGCGAAACGCCTGCAACCCGTCAAAATATCACACGCGCTTGCAAATGATTCATTGAAATCTAGTGGGTGCATCATATAATACATACGTATATATATATATAGTTGAGGTGCAATGGATGAACCTTTCGCGTGTTAATGGAGCGCTCGTGACACTATACTAAAGAACAAAGAAAAAAAAAAAAAATCATAATGAACTTGTATCAACGAACAAGCGAGCGTTGTAAATCTTACGGGATAATGTACGCATCACTTGTTCCGACGAAGGTGTACAGGTACATATACAAAAAGCTCGTGACCGACCGACTGACAGTAAGTACAATGTATATAATGTAGTAAAAATATCTCTTGACTATGCATCACGTTAGAAGAAACGACATTTTACACGGAGCTATGTCCTATACCAACTGCAACGACACGAGGTACATATATATACATAGAATACGACAGATTTAATTGTTTCTCTCGAGCTATCAACGCGCGAGTGTCTCTATTGTTAATTGTTTTTTTATGCTCATCTTCTTCTCTGCCCATGTCCATAGACGCCCCGCACCGCAAAATTAATTCTCGAGAGCCGGCAAAGACCTCACCGCGGACCTTACATGCATATACGTGATATTTTCAAACCACGTGATAAAAAATGCAGCTGTCGCGTATGAAAAAAAAAAAAAAAAAAAAAAATACATTACCTCGGGCGATCCTTCCCTTGATGAACTCGTTTTCCTGGGGCGTCTCGAGCGAAACGGCGTCCATGCAGTGGCGCCTGCATATGTTCCTGGCGTCGAGCCAGTCTACCTCCAGGTTCCTCGTCGGCGCGTGCTCCCAACTGAAGAAGTACGAGTGGGCCACCCCTCGGGCGTCCCTGTAGGTCGAGTGTCGCACGCCTGCGACGTCATCCACCGCGATATCATAAAAAAATAAATAATCAATCTTAATAATGGGACAAATAAAGGGGCCCAGTGTCGTGTACCACGCGACACGTGTTCAAGTACAAGGAAAATAACAACAACTGGTTATTTTGCGCACAAGGTATACATACACGTATCTTGCAGTTGGGTGTACGAATTGTGCAATAGCGTCACAATCGCCTATGTGCACCATCATGCCCCATGCATGTATGCGCGAGGACGAAAAAAAAAGGGGGACAAAAATAGAACACAACAAAAATACCGCAATATCCATCATATACGATGCGATAACGCAGAGAGGGGGACTCCCTTATAATATATAAAAAACAAACAAATACATGAGCGCACACTTGCGTTGCAAAATCTCCAAACTGCTTATAGATAATCACGCGCGAAACTATATAAATAAATCAAAANTTATTATACCTTAGTCCTGATGTGCACCCCCCGAAGTAAAAAAAAAAAAAGAAAAAAAAAAAATATGTACCTGTGCGGCTTCGCGGTTGTCAGGCTGGGGAGTACCGTAGCCCCCGGTGTGGCTCCAGTCGCCGGTGTTGCGCTGATTCGTCGGCCCGATCTTGGCTCCCGAGCCGGACCAGAACCAACCGTTGACGTTCTGGGGCTGGAGGTCAGGTCGGTCACAGCCGTTGAAGTTACACTTGCGCCCCGACGTCCAGATGTACCTCACGTTGCCTGCGCTCAACATTTTTCATGTTTATTTATTTATTTATTTTTTTTTTTACTCTAATAAAATATAACACGTACATTATTGATGCCAACATTTTGATTGCTTGGCAAAGTGTCTCTTTTAAATTGAAAATTGGGGACTACGTGGTAAAGCGATGATTAAATTGTACCCCGTGTATACGCGCTCAATCGCTTCGAAATACCGCGAGAAAACAAAAAAGAATCACTCACACGACTGGGTCTGTAATTGGGGCATCTGTTTTTTTTTCTTCGGATATAAACTAGAGCGACAAAATTAAGGCGTAGGTGGCCCACGTGGGAACGTATATTATTCATTTGAGTCGTCGGGGGGACTTTTGGTATACTTACCTTAAATTCCATTTTTTTGACAAAGTGGGCAAAGATGATGAGAGAAATGTGTGAGATTATAACTGGATGCGTGTCATGGCCACCAATTTAAAGGGTGTATACGGATAAAAATGTACACATGCGTCAGTCTGATGTGATGTGAAAAAAAAAAAGAAGAATTTGCTCGCACGTGTGAATGAAATAGAAAAAAAATAAGGTCTCAAAAAGGTATATTTTAATAGTAATTTACGCGTCGTAGTCGCGCGACAAAGTAAAAAGTTTCTCTTCCCTTTCAGCTCCATACAAGTATACATATAATCAAGACGACAAACGAAAATCAAAACACACGCGACCTGCGAAGAACAATAACTCGATTATCCAATTACAAATCATTAAAAAAACAACGCTAACACCGAATAATATTACAAGAGGCAAACAACGACGTGGTAACTGTTGAAACAACGACAAAACGCGATCCTTCCCTGTATAGTCCCTGCATAACCATATGCAAGTGATCAGATCTCCGAAATAATCCTTTTGGTGTAATAAATATCCAATGAAAGCTCGGGAGCAAGAGATAAAGAATAAATAATTACAGTTGGATACAAAATATAATCATCTAAGCGCCACTAAGATAAAAAAACAAACAAATACATGAGCGCACACTTGCGTTGCAAAATCTCCAAACTGCTTATAGATAATCACGCGCGAAACTATATAAATAAATCAAAAAAAAAAAAAAATAATAATCTCAAAGAGCACACATCAGGTCAGCGCGCCATTTACGTGCAGTATATACCTATGATGTTTAAGAGGCGATCGAGGAAGCTTCGTCCACCGATTGCCGCAAATATAGTTACAATTATTCTGCCCAATCATGTTATTTATAATAATACATATATTGTACACGTATTACGTTTACCCGTGCGTATACGTGACGCAAGGCTGTCTTTTTGAAAGCGCTCCTCGCGGGGAGAAAGCTCTCGTTTAATTGTCCGGCACATGTATATATCGTGTATATGTATGTGTAAGACGCGTAACAACGTCAAAATTACCTATACTTATACATGGAGTATCGTAAAAATGTAGTAATATACACACAACATATATATATATATATATATATATATATATATACGGTGCACGCCGAAAATTGCCTTTAGAGTATCACATACCAATGTGCTTTACAACCGCTGACGCAAATTTTGAGAGAGCTGCCCTGAAATATGTGCTCCGTTGCGCTGAATCGTGGTTTTTACACGCGTTTCTTTTGCAGTGTCGTATAACAAGTGATGCGTTCGAGTGGGCATATAACATTCGCGTTTCTTGAGAAGGAAAAAAATTTTAATATAAATATACCGACTAGCACAAATGAATCGATAAGTTTTCTTATCTTTTCTAACGGGAATACACCAAATTAGTTTTGACTCGAAGCTGCATTGTTGTGCCGTTACAACAAAGGCTTTTACTACTTTTTTTTGCGTTATCCATACACGTAAATCATCGGTAAGCTTACAAATGAGTCATAATTTTACAGATTTGCGTATATGGATATGACAAATATATGCAACGCGATTATTCCAAGTATAAAATAACCCATCTAAAGATCTAAATTTGCCATCGATCGATTACTATACTCCTGATGAGCATAAAGGATCGAGTCGATGATATTTTTTTGCACTCTCGTGATTACAAGGTATTATTTTCCTTTTCCTTATTACAATTTACAGCCGAGCCATACGTATTATTACGTACTCGTGGCTCAGGTCGGGGTGAAAGTGGCTTGAAATGTGGATGGAAATTATGAAAAGCGAGGATGACAGCTCCACTACACGTATATACATCGTAAGGTAAAGTTGTCCCCGATTTTTCCGCGATCGGTATCCCACCGATCGACGCCGATCGCACACCTATATAAATATCCTCGGGGCTATACGTATACAAGACAACATTCGTATAGTTTCGGAATACTTGACGTATTTATTTCATGTATACACTCTACGGTACACGAGGCGACCCAACAAATTTTCAAAGGATCATCGAACAAAGTTTTGTCAAAATCAACGCTTGCTGTTATACGTTATATGTTATCATAATTCGTTTTCTCTTTGCAAAACATCTACTTAAGATTCGTTCCAATGGCCGTTTGGAGTCTTTGCGACATGAACGTAATGGACGAGTAGCCGTTTAATTTGAATTACGAAATAATGTAATATGTACCTGTATTAAATAAAAATTAAGGCCATTTGTAATTCAATAAGGACCAAAAAAAAGCGAAAAATAAACCGAAGGGGAAAAGAAAAACAGGCTGCACTTTACAAGATAGTTTGTGCACAAACAAACAAACCGGTCGAGGATGATCAATAATTCAAGAGCCAGCGGCGGAGCAAAGGCCTTTTTTTTTCACCCGCCGGCGTTTTGTTGTTGCTCAATCATTGAATCTCGAGCTTTACTACATACACATTATACACACGTATAGGTATACCTACAGTGCAATTTCCTCGAGCGCGCAAATTGAAAATCTCATTTGGTGCAATGTATTGTGCCATGGTGATGACGATTTAAATTTAACGACCAGTACCACACGCGCTTTTGTGTATTTATGCAAGTGACGATGGTAAGGGGGGGGGGAGAAAACTCCGTACATTTATTGTTACTCGAAGAGCCAATGGACTGATGTTTTCTTGCGAAACGCCTGCAACCCGTCAAAATATCACACGCGCTTGCAAATGATTCATTGAAATCTAGTGGGTGCATCATATAATACATACGTATATATATATATAGTTGAGGTGCAATGGATGAACCTTTCGCGTGTTAATGGAGCGCTCGTGACACTATACTAAAGAACAAAGAAAAAAAAAAAAAATCATAATGAACTTGTATCAACGAACAAGCGAGCGTTGTAAATCTTACGGGATAATGTACGCATCACTTGTTCCGACGAAGGTGTACAGGTACATATACAAAAAGCTCGTGACCGACCGACTGACAGTAAGTACAATGTATATAATGTAGTAAAAATATCTCTTGACTATGCATCACGTTAGAAGAAACGACATTTTACACGGAGCTATGTCCTATACCAACTGCAACGACACGAGGTACATATATATACATAGAATACGACAGATTTAATTGTTTCTCTCGAGCTATCAACGCGCGAGTGTCTCTATTGTTAATTGTTTTTTTATGCTCATCTTCTTCTCTGCCCATGTCCATAGACGCCCCGCACCGCAAAATTAATTCTCGAGAGCCGGCAAAGACCTCACCGCGGACCTTACATGCATATACGTGATATTTTCAAACCACGTGATAAAAAATGCAGCTGTCGCGTATGAAAAAAAAAAAAAAAAAAAAAAATACATTACCTCGGGCGATCCTTCCCTTGATGAACTCGTTTTCCTGGGGCGTCTCGAGCGAAACGGCGTCCATGCAGTGGCGCCTGCATATGTTCCTGGCGTCGAGCCAGTCTACCTCCAGGTTCCTCGTCGGCGCGTGCTCCCAACTGAAGAAGTACGAGTGGGCCACCCCTCGGGCGTCCCTGTAGGTCGAGTGTCGCACGCCTGCGACGTCATCCACCGCGATATCATAAAAAAATAAATAATCAATCTTAATAATGGGACAAATAAAGGGGCCCAGTGTCGTGTACCACGCGACACGTGTTCAAGTACAAGGAAAATAACAACAACTGGTTATTTTGCGCACAAGGTATACATACACGTATCTTGCAGTTGGGTGTACGAATTGTGCAATAGCGTCACAATCGCCTATGTGCACCATCATGCCCCATGCATGTATGCGCGAGGACGAAAAAAAAAGGGGGACAAAAATAGAACACAACAAAAATACCGCAATATCCATCATATACGATGCGATAACGCAGAGAGGGGGACTCCCTTATAATATATAAAAAACAAACAAATACATGAGCGCACACTTGCGTTGCAAAATCTCCAAACTGCTTATAGATAATCACGCGCGAAACTATATAAATAAATCAAAAAAAAAAAAAAAA